AATGCGAGCATGGCTCAGTACAGGCAGCAATACCACTACGCCAATGGCTCATCGGCTCATGTGGCCGTTGGGATTCGATCTTCCGCGCCGCACAAGACCGCTAGGTGGCGTCGATCTGCTCGAGGCGACAAGAGTCGCCGCCTCTCGATCGGGTCGCTCATAGTGGTGCTCTCTCTCGTGCTTGTTGTAACTGTCTTGGTATACTATTACATCTCCAGTTTTAGCAATGGTAAAGGTCGGTTTCTGGTTTAAATCTACTTTTAGGCCTTTTTTTTTTTTTTTCTTGTCCTCGCTTGGCTGTTGAGAAAAAAGCTGAGAAAGTGAAGGAAAGTGAAATTCAGGACTTATTAAGTGTTTCTTTGCTGTGTTACCTGTTCTTACCTGACCTAATTTACATTTTTACAATTAATTGTAGATTATAAACTTATTGATAGATCAATGCCAGTAGTTTTCTGCTTTGCTTTTGATTTTTCTCTGATTCTTTTGTCTTTATAGTAAGAATTCTTCTGATTTCTGAGAAAACTAAGGAATCAAACTAATGGAAGTTTGAAATTTGTTATCATTTTACACCCACAATTCTGAAGATAATTATGTTATGGTCTCTGTATTTTCTTGGATCAGTTTCTTTGGTTGGCTGTTGAGAAAAGGAGCAAAAAGAGAGGAGAAATTTGACTAGGCCTTTTGCCTCTCGTGTAAGCTGACAGGGGAATGGTTTGCCTAGGTTCCAAAATACTGACTCTAAAAACAGAAAAGATAACCGGAGTATAAGTTTGCACTCCAAAGGGTTTAAGGTTTTGAATGTTATGGTCCTCATGAAAATAACAATGTGTTGATTTTCTATTTTGGGTTAGGCCATTGGGTGAATGTGAATTCAATTTTTTTTTTTTCCCTTCTGAGGGGAGAGTAGAAGTATAAGCTTTTTTAAAGTGCATGAACAAGATTTAATAACTGTGTGTTTGCTGATGCAGAATTAAATAATTATTATCACTTAGAGGGTGATGATTCAAAGAATGATCAGGATTTTCTTGCAAATGTGACACGAAAAGAAACTTCTAAAGTCCTGAAGTTTGGCCGTGGTTCTGGAGCTCATGGCCGAGATTCAAGGTATTGGGATACGGATGATAGGAGAAGGGATGAAGATTACAATGAGGATGAAGTGGATCAAAGTAACAGTTATTCTAGGGATGAATCTCTAGAGAGAGGTCATTCTTCTATGAATGTTAAGAATGAGAACAAGGTGGCTTCTCGTGACTCTGTTAGGGGTTCAGCTCGGAGAGGTGTTGGGTTGTACAATGAAGCTGGGCGCCATGAACTCAGAAAGTATGAAGCTGAATATGAGGCGTCTTTGAAGAATGTGGGACAATATCAAAAGGAAAATGGGAGTGACAATCAGCAATCTGACAAAGAAGGTGTTGGAATGCATGATGAAGAGAATGATGCTGATGATCAGTTTGATGATGGTATTGATATTGATGATTTGTGGATGGAAGAATACAATGATTCTGGGCATGGGAAGGGCAACTTGGATGGGGCTAAATCTCATGTTAAAGATGGTAAAGAGTCTTCTAGTTCCTTGTACACTGGAGCTAAAGATCAGAATGTTGTTGAGGAGGTTGATGAAGCCTCCAATTCATCTGAGGAGGCCTCGTCTTTGAGTTCCAGAGATGTTGACATTGATGCAGATTCTCAGCATGCTGGCACTAAACGTTCAAGAAGCTCACGCCCGGGTTCAAGAAGAAAAACAAGGGGACGCAAATTTTCTGGTGAGTGTTCTGTTTTGTTATTCAAATGAGTAGATGAACCTAGTGGGCTTAGATTGGTTTTTCAAAAGATAAAACCAATTTTATAAGGATGTTGGATAATAAGAATCTTATTTGGAGATGGATGGATTAAAGAGACATGATTAATTTTGTGTCCTTGTATCATGAGTAAGAATAACCCAAACTCTAATACTGGCTATTAAGCTGATTTGTGCAATTATGCTCTCATAATTCATTCTTTTTCCTCGTCTAAAAGTTTCAAGTTTTATTTTTTAGGTTCCTCTTGTGAGATGAAGTTATTAAATTCTACTGCACAGCTTGTAGAGCCTGTAGAAAGTCGAAAGTTTGCAAGATTTTCCTTACAGTATACAGAAATGGAGGAGAAACTTGAAGGAGAAGAAATATGGGAGCCTAGATTTGCTGGTCATCAGAGTTTACATGAGAGGGAGGAATCTTATTTGGCACGCGATCAAAAAATAAACTGTGGATTTGTTAAAGGTCCAAAAGGATCCCCTAGCACTGGGTTTGACTTGGCAGAAGATGATGTGAATTATATAAGTAGGTGTCACATTGCTGTGATCTCATGCATTTTTGGAAATTCAGATCGTTTGAGGGTTCCTGGTGGTAAAACGGTATGGGATATTCTCTTTTACAATAACAAAATAAAAGAAAATTTTAATTACTTTTACTATTTTTAGAGATATACCTGTCTATTTGACATCTCTGAATGTAGGCAAACTTCTTAATTTTTGCTGCTTTATCTTATTAAGTTCTGAAAGCCGCCCAGTTAGCATGTTTCTTAATGGATCAATTGGATGTAAAGTTGTTGGGACAAGTGCATTCAGTTATAGTCACACTCACATTTTACCATTATGACTTGACATGTTTCAAGAGATGACATGGGATGTAAATACAAATTTTGTTTCACTTCATATCCCATTTATTTTTAGCTAATTCTTAAGTTTCCCTTGATTTTAGGTTACTCGTTTATCAAGGAAAAATGTTTGCTTTGTTATGTTCATGGATGAGATGACTTCGCAAACTCTTTCTTCCGAAGGTCACTTACCAGATAGATCTGGATTTATTGGTCTATGGAAGATAGTAGTTGTGAAGAATCTTCCATATACTGATATGCGGAGAGTGGGCAAAATACCAAAAATGTTACCACATCGACTTTTTCCTTCTGCAAGGTGCGAATTAGTCTATTCAGATAATTTACAGTGCTTCTGTTATATTTTATTCTGTGAGTTTTATTACTTCTTTTTGTTCTATGTAATGATGTACACTGTTGTCTCTACAATTAATCTATTAGCATAAAATGGGTGTCAAACTTTTTAAGGTTTCCATATGCCCTATGCAAACATAAAAACTCACCCATAACTCACCCATACATTGCTTCATTAGGTGGTAGGTAGTATGTATGCAATGACTACAGTTTTTGACATTGCTTATGGTTATTAATCTGGTAAGATTTTGTTTAATTTTAACTTTGTGGAGCTGTGGTTGGTGGAAGCACTTTTCTTTCTGTATTAACAATAAAATTTGCTCATTGGAATTATAATTTTGCTGCATAGAAGGTCTTATAATTTTGCTGCATAGAAGGTCTTATAATTTTGCTGCATGGGAGTTCCCCGATATTAACTGGCTTGACAATTTATTTAAATCTTATGGTCTCAGGTACTCAATCTGGTTGGATAGCAAACTACGACTCCAACGCGACCCTCTACTTATCTTGGAGTATTTCTTGTGGCGTAAAGGTCATGAATATGCAATATCTAATCACTATGACCGGCATTGTGTGTGGGAAGAAGTTGCACGAAATAAGAAGCTGAACAAGTATAATCATACTGCCATTGATGAACAATTTGCATTTTACCTGGCTGATGGACTAAGAAGATTCAACGCCTCAGATGCTAACAAGCTTCTGCCCAGCAGTAAGACTATTTCCTAGGATATATTCACTAGCAGAGTCAGATGCCTGAATTCACATGCACAGATGCAAGCATTCGTTTCACACTGGGGCCAACCTGCACCTTTTCATGTTTATCTCTGATTCTCTTCTTGTTTATAAGGTTTGTCTTGTGCATTTGCAGATGTACCTGAAGGTTCTTTTATTGTAAGAGCTCACACACCGATGTCAAATTTGTTCTCCTGCCTTTGGTTCAATGAGGTGGACCGATTTACTTCTCGTGATCAGCTGAGTTTTGCATATACATATCAGAAATTGAGAAGGATGAATCCTGGCAAGCCATTTTATTTAAATATGTTCAAGGTAAATGGTTCTACAAAATAATGGCTATAACCTCTATAAAATTGAACTGCTGTTTACTATCTCCTGACACAAGCTATTTAAAAAGAAAATGTGATTTATAGATATGATTTTTACTGTCCTTTGATTGCAGGATTGTGAAAGGAGAATTGGAACCAAATTGTTTCGTCATAGGTCAGACGAGAAGCGAAATGTTCAGCAACAAGTGACATTGTAGAATGTGTTATTCTATTGGCTTTCTCCTTTGGAAGGTCGCATTTACACGCAAACCTCAGCCCTGCTGATTCTAATCCTTGTATAGGGACCGGGACATAATGGTGCCACTTGTTCCCGCAATCCTGGTATTGAAACGATTTGCGACTTGGAGCATTGTAAGTCTACTGCAGATATGAAATTTGATTTCATGTGTGATTTGTTAGGCACGGCTCAATCTTCTGTTGGTATAGTTGATATTGATTGTTTAGGTTCTTTGGGAACGAAAATTCTGCCATCCATTTTACTAATTTCATTCAAAATTTATTTACATTCATTGCTTTGTTGGAGGCAACAAAGCACCTTAGACCTCTGTACCATTATTCTCAACAAATTTCTTGTATTTTTCCTTTTCTACCTCTTCAATTGGTTACCATGTTTTCCATTATTTTGTAAAACTTTCATAGGACATCAAAGGCTTGTAATGATATTTGAAAAGTAAATTGAATTCATTTTATCAATTTATCTTTTCTTCTGCCTTGTGTTGCTTGATTTTTTTCCAGTAATAATTCAACTACAATGTTTCTTCAGGAAATATTCTCTGAAAGTAAAAGCATGGATGGGCTGAAATATCCCATCTAACAATCTTTAAAGTAAAAGGCAATCCAACAATCTTAAAGTTAAACGCAAGGTGAATTGATGAAAATGAATTACCAAGCATCGAAATTCAATTCAATCACGTCAGAAGAACATCAATTTTGATAATCTGAATCACATTCCCTACTTTTGAAGTTTACATGCCTTGGTATGACATTCAATATAGGCGCTTAAGGCACTCCATCAAGATGTCTGTTTGTTCAGGTTTCCCAGCAGTCACTCGAATGTAGCCCTTCAGCTCTTTCTTGTTATAGTGACGGACCATGACACCCATTTGCGCAAGGTCATCCTTTAACTTCTTCGCATCCATTCCAGATGTAACCTCACAAAGAATGAAATTGGAATAGCTTGGATATGGTTTCAGAAATGGTACCTCATTTAGAAGTTTAAAAAGCCTATCCCGTTCCTTTACCAGTGCCTCTTTCACCTCCTTGAAAAAAGATAGAAAGTTGTCTTAGGAATGACCCTCAAGCACAGGGGAATCCAGAATACTGCCTCTTGGCAAGATTTGGTTTCAAATCAGGAAATTTTAATAGAAGGTAAAAATAAAGCCCAATGTCATAAAAAGAGGAGAAAACAAAAAGATAAGAACCTCTAGATATGTTGCATTCTGCAATGCAGAACAAGCAGCAACTTCAGCAGCAACAGAGACATTATACGGTTGCTTTGCTCTCCAGAGATACTCAATAATACTCAAGGGAAATGCTCCATACCCAACACGGATGCCAGCTAAACCTGCAGCAGACAGTCAAGTCAATATACATCCTACTCAGAGAAGATAACGTTCTGAATATTCACTATTGAACCAGCAAATATCTCGACCTCAGTAGATTATATTATCAACAAAAAGAAATATGATCAATCATTATAACTTGGAAGTAAAAATAACCTACCAGCTCTTTTGCTAAATGTTCGAAGAACAATTAAGTTATCATACTTCTTCACCCATTTCATCTTAGATTCAATTCCTGAAAACTCAATGTACGCCTCATCCAGCACCACCAATATTGGCAAATCAAGGATCTTCAAGAGAACCTCATCACTGATGATGCTGAAATAATAATTAAAACGTTCAAGAATGTACATGGAAGACCAGAAAACAATTGCAAAGAGTTTAGTACCATATTAAGAATAGTTTGCAAGCTCTTAAAATCAGCATAACCACATCAAAAACCATATTACTAATTTTTTTTCTAAGAAAAAAAAAAATCATGTCCGGCAATTTCATTTGAACATGACAACAGAACCTCATGAAACATTTGCATTTGTTCTACATGGGGCTACAGCAAGCACACATGGACGTACAAGTTGCCCAAATTCATCTTCCTTGAACATATTTATGGAAGAGCCAATAAGATTAATGTTCTTTTCACCTCTTGGGCCATTGTAGGTTGTGATTATAGAAAGTAATATGACATAATCATGGAATTGGACAAGAAAAGACACAAGTGTGGAAACAAGTGAAAATTACCTTCCATCGGGATTGTTTGGAGAAGTTAGAAATATGCATTTTGGTTTTTCTTGCTCAACAACGTCAGCAATAAGTTCTACATTCAAGCTGAAGTCTGAATTCCTTGGAACTACACAGCAGGTTAAAATACTTCATGTTATTCACAGATGATGAAGAGAAGGTATTTTACAAGTATATATGATACAACCATTTATGGAAAAAGTACCAACAAATGTGATAAATCAAATTTCCAAGTCAAAGAAAAAATTCGGGGGAAGTGAAATCCTAGAAAGCATATCTCACCTTTGATAACCTCTGCTGCATTAACGCCAGCATCAAATTCATACATAGTGAAGGTGGGAGGACAGTCCACAATCTTGTCACCTGGATCCAGTACACATCTACAATAATCAGATAGATTGAAAACAAACAAAACAGAGAGTTAAGACTTAGTCATTCTCAACATTACAGAGAAAATAGGAAAAATTAAATTAGAAAAAAAAAAAAGACTGAACGTTGTATAAACTAAGTTTACTGTGTTTAACCTCATTATCAAATCAATAAGCTCGTCACAACCACAACCCACAAGAATATATTTAGACTCAAGCCCTGAATCTTCAGCAAGTGCAGCGCGCAATTGACGAGATTCAGGGTCAGGATAGATATACGGGAACTTCAACGAGCCTAAAGCTTCAAGCACCTACAAACAATCTGAAAGTTGCAATCAGGGAATAACAAAATAATCAACAGTATGAATGGAAGACAAGCAAAACAACCAACTTCATACTCAAAGTTAAGACAAATCATTGTAAGTTCCGTCATCTCTCCAATGCTGACAAATTCAATTATATGAGAAGTGTGATCATAAATATCACTTGCCTCCGGAGGTGGACCATAAGGATTTTCATTTGCATCTAATTTGATTATATCCTCGGGCTTTCTTCCAAGTTTTGTCGACAAAACCTGGAAAGAGAAAAATTGCTAAATAATATAGAAACCAATTAATGCATTCAAGCAGCAAGTTGGGAGCATCTAAAGGATTTTAAACAAGAGACCATAAATTACAAACATTTGTGTAGTATACAGGAACAATGACAGACCCATAAGGCATAAAGTACTTTCATAATTTTGATTCGACAGATGCATAGTTGTTAACAATCACCAAAATCAAATGACTCAGCCAATATAGGCTAAAAACTCAAAATTCAATCTCCTTTACCTCAAAAGGCAATATGGGCTGGTAAGGAGACAATTTCCTCAAATGGGGTCGAATAAAAGAATCGCCAGTCAACTGCTGCTTACCCTTACTGACTTGGTCTACAGGTATGGTGGAGGAGGCCATGGTTCTGAACCTTCTGGGATTTCCTTCAATTGAGTAAATGGGTCTTTGAGAATTCCCAAATTGGCGAATATTGGTATTGGGTTTGATCAAAGAAAGAGAAACAGTGTTGTAGATATCAATCACACCCATCAATAACTGCACATTTGGGTTACAATACAGTTCAGTGCATTCTCCAAAAAAACCAGTATTTAGCTCTAATAAGAACTTTACTTACAATGCATCTTGTTAAGGAAAACATAAGCATCTACTGTATGCAATTCAAAGACCAGGGCTTTATGGGCATACCTTATTTCCCAAGAATAAAGCTAAAATTTTTTCAGAGGAGATTTCCTGAATTGAGATACTGTACTGACAAAAAAGAAGACCGCTAAACCCTAGTGAGTTAAAATGCACAAAACCGAAACTGAGAAAACCCCCCCTTTTTTTTCCATTGCGTATTTTCCAAAAACAAAAACAAAAAAAACCCTTTTTTTTAATATTTAATCTAGATAGGGTAAGTGGTTGAACTCTTTTATTAAAGACGCTATCTAGAATTACATAAAAAAAAAAAAGACGCTATCTAGAATAAGTGGAGTGTGGTTATTGCCCTCACATAGAGTGTTAAACTACCAATTTTTAGTTTTTTTTTTTTAATAATATTTAAAAATATTAATTAATTAGTTAATTTTAATTTATTTATTAATAAATATTAATTATTTTATAAATTAATAATTATAATTAATAATTATTTTTATTAATTAAATAAATATTTTAAAAAATAAAATTTTATCTATTTTTTAGTTACATTAACATTTTACTTGGGTTAAATACCGATTTGGTCTCTTAACTTTCATTTTTGAATCGAATCTACTCCTAAACTTTGAAAAGTATCAAAATTATCCTTAAACTTCAATTTTTGAAACCAATTTAGTCCTTCTGTCAATGAAAGTGCCAAATGGCACATTAAGTTGCCATGAAATCAGTTCATTGTATTAAGTGAAAAATTGTGTAGATGATGTGGAAAATTAAATGATTTAAGGTCATTAATTAATTAATTAACACATGAAACTCAAATAAAATTACAAAACTAACCTCATCTTTTTCCTCAAAATTTGCTTTTGTTCCTCTCTCTTTCTTCTGTTTTTCTTCCCATTCATCAATTTCTTCTTCTCTTATTCAAGTTCGTAAGTGATTGGGCTTGGATAAGGGTGGCTTAAGAGATTTGGAGCTAGGGAATACCTTGGAGTGTGAAGTGGTGAATAAAAGGAGGGGATGCAAGGATTGAGTATCAGACTCTCCAGTGGTGGGTTTTATTGATGAGGTCAAGAGTCATATATTCTCCTCTCCTCCTCCTCTTTTTCTTCCTTGTCTTCTTCTTTCACCTCCTTTTCTTCTTCTTCTGTTATTCGGGTTTTGGGTTTTTGATCTTCTAGGAACCTAGATCTGCTCTCTCAAAATCACCATTCTTCTCCAAAATGAGAAATTTAGTAAGCATATTATCTAATTTCTACAAATTAATTTAGAAATCATTTTTAAATTTCAATTTTTGTTTCATCTAGGTTTTGTCACAAATTCAGAGCCTTCAATGTTGCAAAGATCTATCAATGACCTATCCCATGAAAAGCCCATTGATTTGTGAACTTCTTCAATTGATCTTTCAACTGCTTAGGTTCTCCTACCTAAGCTTGGCTGGTGAGACTAAGATTTGCTTTGGGTTGATATCTATATTTGGGCTTTTTCTCTGTACTCAAAATTCTTGGAAAAAAATGATGTTTCTTAGTGAAAAACATTGAGTTTATTATGAAATTTGGAAGATAATTTCATAGATATTTTAGTCCTCGTACTTTTTTTTTTAAAACATTTTTTTAATTCCTCATACTGGTTATGCTTTTTGAAGTTTGAATTTGAAGGTTTTGTGATAGGGTTGATAGTTCAAAGCAATGAGTTCTTGACATACTAGTGTTTTTTGAGACTTGAATTTAATGGGTTTGTGGAAGGTTTGATAGTTTGAAGTAGTGAGGTGTGGGATTAATTTTAGACAAGATGAATTTTTTGAGTAGTTTATAGGAAAATGAAGGAAAACTAGAGCAGAAAATGTTGTAAAAAATATAGAAATAAAAATACT